GTACTGGTATTAATCAGTTTACTATGCAAATGGTTGCTGCTGAGTATGGGAACATGCCAAAGTGCTACGCTTTGAACATGTTCAAAGACTTTGTTCCGATGGAGGCCTTCTCCGAAACCAATCTAGGTTTGGATTTTACTTTTGTCTGATTGATAACATGAGATATGTTTCTTCGTTTGCTTTTCATCTCACACTTGGCAAGCTACTCCAGTTTATCCAGCTGTTGAAGGAAATGTTGATCACAAATTCGATATGAAGCCACATGGCGAGAACATTGAAGAATATGCTAGGCTCTGTCGTGAGAGAACGAGCAAAGCCATGGTTAAAAATCGACAGATTCAGGTATGTTTATTTGCACATTCAGGTGTTTGTTTTCCTTTGATTCTTCTATGCTGGCTCTTACTTGTCTAAGGACTTTTCTTCCTTGAATTGCATGTAAGGTTATTGATAATGACCGCGGAGTACATATGAGGCCCATGCCTGGAATGCTTGGTTTAGTTTCCTCCAATTCAAAGGTAAGATGTTTTGCTGTTCTCAATGATGTTGCATATATGGAGTAATCATTGAGATGCTAAAGAGTTGATGAAAAAACTAACAATCCAGCTTCAATGCTCATTCTTTAGTCAGACTAAATAAGATTCAGGATGGAAACTTCGACCAATGATCTGAAAACTTTAACTTTCTGGCTTTATCTTTCCTTTACCTGATCAGCCTTACCAATGTAGAAGTTTGTGTTTCTGTTTGAATGAGCAGGAAAAGAGGAAACCTCCTCCAGTCAAGCAAACCGAGGTGAAGAGGACGAGGAGAGATCGTGGTGAGCTTGAAGCTATAATGTTCAAGCTATTCGAAGGCCAACCTAACTGGACATTGAAGCAGCTTGTACAAGAGACGGACCAACCAGCTCAGTTCCTGAAAGAAATACTAAACGAGCTCTGCGTGTACAATAAGAGAGGATCGAACCAAGGAACATATGAGCTTAAACCTGAATACAAGAAATCTGCTGAAGATGATGCAGGTGGGCAGTAAAATCAATCCCTTTGTGTAATTCACTACTATATACTTGTGCCATAGTCATAACATTATTATATAAACGCTGAGTCCATTGATCGGAAAAAACAAGATTTTAGCAGGGAAGAGAAAAGAGGGTTTTAAAGTGGTAATCTTTTAATTTGTATTTTTAATCGAAACAGACAAATATAAAAGTGAGTTTTTGTTTTATGACATATAACAAAATTACAAAATCATGTGGCGGTTTGGTTGGATATAAACATATAACGAACACAAAGTCTAGTCCAAAGAGACTGAGACGTCAAATTTGTCTTCCACTGCTTGAACATAAGCGTGATTGAACATTTGAAAACGACCCTGATTTTCTCTTATAAACTGCGTCCGGATTATTCTCTCTGAAGATTCCAAGCATTTACCATTTGAGCCGTAGATATTGGGATGATGTATATTATTAATGGAAGAGACAACAATATAAATGGTAAGGTAGTTCCCACCTTTTGTTTGTGGCAGACATACTAATCGTGTTTACATTTTGACTTCTCCTTCTATTACTCATTTCAAGTTTTCGATCACGTAAGTTTTGAATGAATCGGATGAGGCGATGAGCAACATCTCATTTTGTTGAATAGAGGATTTCAGATTCGGATACAAAGTCATCGAATATGTAATATACTTTTCTGTAGCTACTATAAGTAAATAAATAAATAAAAACTACTATAAGTACTATTAGTAGAGAAACTTCAATAAGTCCGTGATAGAAACTACTATAACTTCTATGGGAGGACCTCGATAAAACCAAAAAAAATATTCGAGTTTTTTATTAATTTTCTTTCTTTTTAAAACTGGACCGTTTTATTTTATAAAAAAATTTGAAATTAATTTTGGACCCATGACAAATGCATATATTGTTTATCCCTACAGTCGGGCCTAAACTCATGTGTGGCATGGTGGTTACGGTTTTAGGACTAAGGGCATGAACTCGCTATAATCATAGATTAGATTTTCTACTCACTTTCGGAATTCTACAGTAGTTTTGGTAAAATCTAGATAATCGATTTATCTACAAATATTACGAGAAAAAATTGAAAATAATTTGTTAAGAAAATTGGTTTTAATATATTCAATATCACTAGCTACTCTTACGAAAATAATTACAACTTTAAATAAATTTTTTGTTAAAGATCGGATATATATTATACGCTTATATCGTATCATAATTAAGCCTTATAGTTATGGGAAGAAAACAGTGAAAAAAGCATGCAAGATTAAGGAATTATCATTGGTAACTTTAACTGTTAGCAAAATCTTTTTCTTTCCTTTTTTTCGATGGAGCCTGTGATTGCAAATTTTGAAAAGATATAAGTTCTCTTATTGTTCTTTTTGACCAAGTCACAGCCGTAAACGAAGAAAACAAACAGATGAAGATAGCAATGAAGACATGTAAAAATAAAGTGTAATTCTTTTTTATATATAGCTGTAATACTTTGTCACAAAAAAGGAGAAGTTGTGCAAATGCCTTTTTAACAAAATAAAAATTTTAAGAAAATAAAAATGCATACATTGAATTAGCTTATCAAGCACAAAAGCGTGACTTGATAAAAGGAAGAGATAAAATAATCATGTTTAAGGTGGAAAATGTAATCCTTTGACGGAAATATGGTGTTATAGATGACTATAAGAAATTAAATTATGACAATTATATCAGTAGTTTAATCATGTCGGACTATCTCTAACTAAGAAATCCCACCAAATTTCATGTCAAAAATATAGTGGATGGCTTGAAATTTCCCATAATTAATTTTTGCATGCATGCCAAGCAAAAGCAATCGAGATGAATAAAAACAAAAACAAAATAAAAAGTCAGTATATGTTTGGACTTAGAGAAGACCTCGCATGCTAAAAGCCAACCCACAAAATAGTTGCAGAAACACCTAATTGCGTAATACTTCAATATTTTCAAGATGACAGATTAGTATAAGTTTTTCTAATAGAACAAGCTTTATCGGATATCCTCAAAAATTTTGGCAAACTTGCACAAGTTTTTGCGGACTTTCACTTGGTTTCAAACAATTTAACAAATATTTGGAAACTTTCAAAAATTGTTGTCTGTAGCCATAGCCCATAACATGAACTGTTTGTAGTAATTAATGTACATGGGTTTTCAATATTACAAAGTTTTTTTAAAGTCAACAGAATTCTATTAAGTGTTTTAAAAATTGACATGTTTATATAAACTTTCACGTATATTCCATGTAAAAAAATCCTCATCATTTTAATTGGTTTTTTAATCTTAACCCTAAATTTGTGAAATCTAAATCCTAAAAAAATTGCCTTCTTAATTTTAAACGTCTTCAGAGTTCATTATGCGACGAATCTTGGAATCGAGGAGAGACCAATTCTTCCGTTGTGTGATGTACCTGACATCGTCTTTGAAAAGAGAAAGAGCGTTAGAAACTTAAAATGAAAGAGGGAATTTTTTTTATGTTACTGTTAAAGATTTTTTTTGAAATGATGTTATTTGGAAACTTCAAACTTCAGTTTCTTCTCTAATAAACGGCACAATATCAGTTGACACTAACTCATTAATTTTTTCTGTTTTCTAAGCCATTTTTCTTTTTTTTTGTCACTTGAAAGAAACATTAAAAATCACTTTAGAGTTTAGACTCCAACGATTAAACGCTTAAAATGGTTTTCCGCTAGTTAGTTAGCTCTTTCTCGAAGATTGATACGTCCGGATCACCATTCACCATATAACCTAGTTCCTCGAATTGAAATCAAGAATAAAAGAGAGCTGTTTCTGTTAATCGTATTGAAATTACGTTAGTGGGTAAAGTGGCATTAGTCTTATAATAATATGTTGAAGGGTCATACTTGTCCCGTCCTTATAGTGTTGTCGCACGTCAAGGTGTCTCCTTAGTGACATCCACTTATCATCACAATTCAAACGAATCTAAGGACACTCTATATCAAATATCAATCAAAGCATCGGATGAAAACTTTATATGCAAAATCTTTCTATCATAAAAATTAGACACAAGCATATGTGTATATATATACACCATTGAATTGCATGGGAAACAGTGCAGTTATGGAGGTGTATACAGTCATTAAATGTGTTCCAGTTTTGCAGAACCGTGTCTACGTTCTTCAGACAATCAGTCGGAACGTTTTATCTTTGTTGATTATGACTGATCACAAGTATTGTCGTAAATAAGTGACAACATTTAGCGTATCGGATAACTAGTGAAAGAATAGAAATGAGTTTATTATATAACTTGGTCATATTAAGATTCCAAATATATGCATTGATCTTCTCAAATATCTCTAAAAGTAATCACATTCTTTTATCTTGGAATTTAGGTTAAAAGCTAAATCTTTTGTGTTAAAGTTCAAAAGAGGAGTGAGAAAAAGAGAAGAGAGAGAGATCGGAGACAAGAAGATTCGCTCGTGGGCGAGCAAAAATGATAAAGAAATGAAATAAAGTGAGGAAAAAGGAGACAAGGCAATTAAATATCCCAACTAAGATTGGTCTCCCTCTTCTTCTTCGTCTGCTCGTTACCGGTTACTGTCTTGTTGGGTCCTTACCCGATCCGTTACTGTCTTGCTGGGTCCTTGCCCGACCCGTTTCTTTACCCTTTACCCGCCGAGAGAGATAGACTTAGAATATCATACTTTATATATCTTCTTTTTCAACCTAAAAACTAAAAAGGGGTTTGTTTTCTTCCCTTTTTAACTAAATAAGGGTTTATCTTCTGTCACAAAGACGAAAAATGCTAATTAATTCTTTAATTTGTATTTTAACTAAACACTTTTATAAGCACTAGTTCCGGAAATTGGGCTAATCAATAGTGAAACTTTAGTCTTTACCATCAATAATACGCCCTTTCTTTTACAACAAATGATGTTTATTGATCTTTCACATTCATTAAGAAACAAACTAAAATACTTCATCCTACCATCTATAAATAGATTTATTATTGTCAGTGTTAAGCAATTTTGAATTAAATTTGACACTTAGTTAATTATGCGTTCAATGCTTGTTTCGCATAGGTATCAACGAATCATCATTTGAGAATGATATAAAACAACCTAAATATATACAAGTGTAAATCATGAATTTAAGTTATAGATCCTATCATAAGCCATATACATAACTAACAAACTAATTTGTGCTGGATTTGGTATGTCCAGCTGGGTATGTCTTCATTTTATCTGGCTCTCAAAATTTACTGATACTATAGCTATATCTGAAAAGATTAATTCCCAATTTCAACATACAATAACACAAGATATATAGAATGTTTGATCCAGTTGGTAATGCTTCAAAGATGAATTAATATATCCCTTTTGCTTTAAATATTAAACCACAAAAGAATGAATTTTTTTTTTGAGGCAAACTTACGTATGTTTTCTCAACAAATAAATTTCAAGGTTCAAAAATCCAAAATTAAGTTTCAAAACCTTCAAGATAAAAAATTACAAACACGAGTCACTTACCCAAAATTAAGTTTTAAAATATATATTTAAAAAAAAATCTTATAAAATACATTGAGAAAATTGATCAGTAAAAAAGTGATCACTACCCAAAAATAAAAAATAACATGTCATTTGTGAAACCAGTTTTCCTAGCAAAACCATCGCAAAACGGTTTTGCAAGATATTAGCTAAAAATGCTAAATCGTAGCTAATTGTTGTCGCTGACCTATATCCGTCGTTAATTCATCAATAAGATCAGTTTTACTAGTTATGAACAGAACCTGGAGAAACAACTAATAATTTTTAATTTTCTACCATAAACATCATCGCGCAAATCAAAGCTTCAAATTCTGAATGAATTGGAAGAAAAACTCATGCCAATTGCCAAGATCACCTCTATAGCAAACTATGTGTTGTTATTATGATGAAATAATTATTTACACGTATTGTAGACAGATTTGGAAATCTCTGTATAGTTAATGAAGGGGTCTCTGCTCGACAAATGATATTATGGATACGGTTGAGCATACGTGTACCACTTGCACGGCCAGTTTCATCACATATATACTCCTTTCTTAAGTTTTTTTTTTTTTTTCTGGAATAAGGAATACCCCGAAACTACACGCAAAAAATTGTTTTCAAAAAACGTCTTAACTTTTTTTTTGTAAGAAGCTTTCCTACAGCTGATCTAATAAGATTTTCTAAAAGGTTATGAATTTCTTAAAATGCTGTAATATTTTATTTAAAACAGTTTTGCTGTAATATATGTTGAGGTATAGTTTATCTAAAATCGTTTTGTGACGAGAAATTCCATGAACAATTTTTGTCGTGATACATACGTGGGAGGAAAAAATACATATTTGGTTTGTTTTCACGTGGATATGCACATGTTTTTTTTTTTTTTTTTTTTTTTTTTTTTTTTTTTTTTGGATATGCACATGTTTCTGAGCACAATTTACTAAAACAGTCTCTCTAGGTTTACATTGTCGATATCTCCAAAAATATCAAAACAAAAAGAAAGAGAAAAATGAAAGCATACAAGCAACCATAAAATTTTCGATGATTCTATACTATAAGGATACAAATGTATTTGACTATCGGAAATTAATACTAAAGTACTACAATTACACACGTATATTTATTGAGCATAGGAAAATAGAACAAAAAAAAAATAACCCAAAAAAAATAAAATCGAACTAAAATAATTGAGGACAAATACAGATAATAATATTGGTGTAAGCGTGTACATAAATATTGATCGTGTGGGTGTGCCTGCGAAATAAGAGGTACTGTGGGTCTCACGGTTCAGCAGTGCGCGTGGGGCTCGTCCCTACAAAATTAATTATGTAACATAAAATCAAGAAATATATTTACCCAAAAAAGTAATTAAAACGAAATTTTGTAATAGAAAAGATTCTTAATTAAGATTGGTATTCTCCTGGAGATTATACTGTACAAGTAATAATTAGTAGCAATGCCATGCTGCTCAATAAATATCAAAGGAAAGGACAAATTAAAACCATTATACTGTCTAAGATAGTGAGTGCAAATTGAGGAATAGAGTCGTAAATAATGATAAATATTTGTGCTTTTTTTCTATTGGAAATTTCACCTTTTTGATTTTCAGATTTGAATGATTTTGAATATACAAAAAAATTAAGAATCATAATGATGGTTGCGTTAATGAGTAGTGGCGTGAGGGTTGTCATGTCAGCTAAACAGCAGAAAAATAAAAGAATGTGGGAGACAGCCTTTGCCCTTTACACATTTTTTAGCTCTCTTCTTTTATTTTCTAAAAGACACTAGTACACAGTTAAAATTTTGCGGGCCCTCTGTTTATTAATCTATTTAGATTTAACAGCTTCATGGTCGTTTTCCTCTTGTTAAAAAATTAATCAGAATTTTGGTTTATTTGTTATGACATTTAAAGGACTAAATTGTGGCTCAATTTGTCATAATCTCTAACCAGGAATGCCAGTGGGTAATTCGTTTTGATTTAGAATGAAACGTTGGCTGTTTTAGACACATGAGGACGCATATAATTAACTATCATGTTATGAAACAAAATGTGATGACAAATGTTAAATAATGTCCAAAATGTTGGCAATGTCTTCAAAATTTGAGTTTAACATATTCTTCATCTTGAGATGCGCCAACATCCACAAAGCGTCTGTGAAACTGTAACTTAGAAAGTGAGACGTTGTCACTTTATTAACTCGTTTTGGTAATTACCGGACTTTGTTAAGCCGAATAGTGTATATGATAGTTTTAAATTCTTGAGTTTTTTTTTTCTTTCTAATCAACAAATCCAAAAACAAAATCGTTTAATTTAATATCTCGATTTTTTCATGTTTCTTAGATAAAAAAACTATTATACGTTGAGTTTTTTTTTTTTTTTTTTTGCGATTTTCCCTGAAATATATGTCGTTTTTGCGAGTGTTTTGTAAATAAAATAATGGACACAATAACAGTAAACCGTAACCTATTTATCATACTTGATATAGAAATAATAATATAAATCGAAATTTTATTTTGCCAATTGAAAATCATAATCAAGGAGTGAATGCTGCCAGTAGACCAAAGTAACAAAATTTGGTGTGTACATCAAATGATCGGAAACAACAAAAACTCATTAATATACCTAAATCCACATATATTTTTTTCACATTGTTATAATTAGGTTTAATAGATACCATATTAGAAATCTCAGTGTGGTGGTTCCCACAAGCAAAGAGCGGAATGAGATAGCTATCTACCTATATTTATATCTCCACAACTTCACTCTTTTTCCTCAATCAACACACACAAACATACACACACACACCGCCTTCTATATCGTTTGATCGATTGTTTAGTTCGATCCAATGGCGGATAACAACGATAATCGGAGATCGTTATGGGGAGTTCCGGAGAAGCTTCAGCTTCACATAGCGATGCTGACGTTGCAATTCGGTTACGCCGGATTCCACGTGGTGTCTCGAGCTGCTCTTAACATGGGAATCAGCAAACTCGTCTTCCCTGTTTATCGTAACATCATCGCCTTGCTTCTTCTCCTTCCCTTCGCTTACTTCCTCGAAAAGTAACCTTTTATTTTCACTTCTTCTATATTTGAACTAAACCCTATTTCTTCTAGTTGCTAGTAATTTAATTACCACACTTAATTGTTTTATATAGGAAGGAGAGACCAGCGATTACTCTCAACTTTCTCATCCAGTTCTTCTTTTTGGCACTCATCGGGTATTTATATAGCCTTAACTTAGGTTTCTTTTTGGTTATTGAATGATATATAAAATTTGTTAATTAATGATAATGAATTATTACACGACAGAATAACAGCGAACCAAGGGTTTTACTTGTTGGGACTGGACAACACTTCACCAACATTTGCTTCTTCCATGCAAAACTCTGTTCCCGCCATTACCTTTCTCATGGCTGCTCTTCTCAGGCACTTATTCTACACATCTCTCCTTTTTTTCTTCTCTTTTGATTTCAAAAAAAAAAAAATTGTTTAAAACTTATGGACAGCTTGGATATACAAGAACCACTTTAATAATGTTCATTTGACTTTTCAACGTAAAAGAAACGGATAATAGTATACGTAGACAACATTAAATACCCTTTCAATTTACATACAAAATAGTGATAATTATAGTAGTAACATACTGTTTATGTACTGTACGTAAAAACCAATAATTCAGGATTGAGAAAGTAAGAATAAACAGAAGAGACGGTATCTCCAAAGTCTTAGGAACAGCTCTTTGTGTCGCCGGAGCTTCTGTCATCACTCTCTACAAGGGTCCAACCATCTACACCCCGACCAGCCACCTCCACACTCATCTACTCACCACAAACTCCGCTGCCTCCGCAGTCTTAGCGCCGTTAGGAGACGCCGCGCCTAAAAACTGGACCCTTGGTTGTATCTACCTAATCGGTCACTGTCTCTCGTGGTCAGGCTGGCTCGTTTTCCAAGCTCCGGTTCTTAAATCTTATCCGGCGAGGCTCTCGGTTACGTCTTACACTTGTTTCTTCGGGATCATTCAGTTCTTGATCATTGCTGCTTTCTGTGAAAGAGAATCTCAGGCTTGGGTTTTCCACTCCGGTTGGGAGCTTTTCACCATCCTCTACGCCGTTAGTTTTCTCATTTTTTTATAAATAATTCGTTTTTGGTCCTATTGTTTCAAATCGATCTATTTAGTCCTAATGAAATGGTTTAACTTCAGGGAATCGTAGCGTCTGGAATCGCGTTTGCGGTTCAGATTTGGTGTATTGACAGAGGGGGTCCAGTCTTCGTTGCTGTTTACCAACCTGTTCAGACTCTTGTCGTTGCGATCATGGCTTCGATTGCCTTAGGCGAAGAATTTTACTTGGGCGGGTATGTAAATATTATAGTTTGAGTGGTTTATGTAAACTTTTGTCAAAATTCAAGGACCTAAATCAGAAATTTTTAAAATGTTTTGTGCCACGTGGCGTATTTCTAATGGCAGGATTATTGGAGCGGTCTTGATCATAGCGGGACTTTACTTCGTATTGTACGGTAAGAGCGAAGAGAGGAAATTTGCAGCGCTTGAGAAGGCAACGATGCAGTCCTCCGCGGAGCACGGTATCGAACGTGCACCTGTTTCTCGCAACTCCATCAAGTCGTCCATCACAACTCCACTACTCCATCAGTCAACGGACAACGTTTGACTAATTGGATACATCTTTCTCCAGCTAATAATTACAAATGCCATTACCCAATTAAAAGGGAACAATGGTGTGCCGTTGTGTTTTATGACTTTTGTGTCTGTTTTTTTTTTTCTTTTCTTTTTAGTGTTTTCTCTCTTTTTAATTATTAATTACCTAAGAAAGGTTTTTGAAGAAAGGAAAAAAAAAATGGTGGATGAGACATCATTGTTCATGAGGATGATGATGATGATGATGGTGATGAACAAGGGTATGTGGGAGCTTTGGATTGAGACTTTTCTATATATAATATCTGGCTGATATATTAGTGCCATTTTTTTACATTTCTTGTGGGGTTTTTCTTTCCTTTTCGATCATCAATAGAATGTTATAATTTGCATTTATGATCTTTAATAATTATCACTGTCGGGGTGTTTAGTTTGAATTAGATCAAACGATTTGTTCTGAACTGAAGTTAAAATGATCTATTAAAGAAACAAATTTGTTACATTTTATATTATTATCAAATATCCAATAAAATTGATTCTCAACCGAATGGACAAATTAAAACCAACATTTAATAGAATATAGTATGGACCAACTGAGTTATATAATATGGACCAATTCTTGAGGTGAAAGTCCATAGATTTTAACATGGTATTAAAGTTTAGCTAACTTGAGATAGATGTGTTTGTTCGATATAAATATTTTGGTCCAATATTAGAATTTTGTTTGAAATAGACGGATTAAAAGCATTATTTTTAAGGCGAACGTGTTAAAAATTTCACATATACAATTCAATGCGCTCCATTTATCTTTCTTGGTTTTCTCGGATCAGCTTACACGTCAGCTATTTACATATAAAATATCATCTTTTGATTTTATTTAAACGAAGTTCATTTGCAAAATTTCATATCTTATTCTCTCTATATACATAAGAATTTCATTAACAAAAACATCATATACATAAGGAAAAACACAGTGCATAAGCGACTTTGTCTCATAATTGTTATCTGGCATAGAATAAGAAAAACCCAAATTTTATATATAGTCTACAATGTGGATTCAAGATAAATATGCATTAGTTAAATCATATATAGCCCATTGGTGGAGACCATATATGGGGCGAGATATGATTTTGGGCCGAAAATAAACGGGCCAGGTTTGTTATAAACCTCGCCATATAGTCTAGTAAGACACGCGAGGATTACACATTAGCACAAAGATGAAGGTAAGAAGATGCAAAGAGAACCAAGAAAAAAGTAAAAGCAAACAAAGACAATAGTCAAAGACTTAAAAGCCCATAGAAAACAGAGACATATGTAATCTTAACATTGACCGTTACACACAACGTAACATCCCGTTTTCTTTACACAGATACATTGCACTTGATTAACAGTTTTTCCCATGACACATTTTTAGCTTTGAGACAAACAAGTGTCGTTTTTATGTTTTTTTTTATATGGTAAGAATCTGCTTTCACACTACAGACAAACCACATATATAGAAGTGCACATATATAAGTACATGGAACTGGTGTATATTTACATATATATCCTAGATCACGGTGAGGTGACTATATTTGTATATGTAATTTTGTATATGATAAAGTCTTAATAATTAAAGAGAGTCTAGTGACACCTCAAAGTGGGGAATGAAAGGAATCCCAATTAGAATAGCCACCGGAAATACAAGTATCAAACCGAGAAATATCATTATCTCCTTCATGAACCCATGGAAACCCTAACGACATTGTAGCTTCTTCCCATATAGAAGAATCATCCATTACCGGCAAATCCACGTTTATATGCTCCCATGAGATCTCCTCTGTCACTCTTCCACATGATGACATCTCGTTGGATGAACACGGCGACTCAGAGTCGCTGCTTTTTCCACCGGTGTTGCTGCTTGGTGTCGTCCGGGACGCCTGAGACGACGCCGTTTCAGGGTAACTTCTTAAGGACTCAGGGAGGTTGAGGTGAGCCTCGGGCCCGTAGAGCTTACGAGCTGCGGAGTCATAAGCCAAGGCAGCTTCGCGGGAGGTGTCGAAGGTACCGAGCCAAAGACGAGCTCCTCGGTTAGGCTCACGGATCTCAGCGACCCATTTGCCCCAAGTGCGTTGTCTAACACCTTTGTAGGTGCAAGACGCGTTATCCGGTCCACCTTTTCCTCTCATACAGCCTTTCCTCGAACTAGCTTGGACGGTTCGTTGTTTCTTATTAGCACCAACCATCATTACTTTCGGCTCTATGGATGACATGTACGGATGTTGACAACTCGAAAGTGATATTATGTGACGACTTTTGGTGAGTGATAAGGCAAAGACATGAGGTAATGGTTAGGTGTGTATATATACTAGAGGAGACTGATGAAACGTGTCGAGGAGAAGATATAGCTGGCGCAGACATGACGGAGGGTCGTGTCGAGAGGAGGAAGCTGGTGTTGTGTTTGTAGTTTTAACACTTGTCTCGAGAGACCCTTCTCTTTTTGGCAACAGTAATCGTAAAACCAGCAGAGAGAGAGAGAGAGAGGTCAGTTTGAGATTTTCCAAAAAAGAAAAAGAGAGAGATCAGTTTGGATAAGGTCATCCGCGATTGGGGAAATATAAAAAGATTTATCACTATGAATTAATGGTTCGTCGTGTGAACGCTTTTAATATCAAGCTATGGCTTTAACTTTTAATTTCAAACAGCTAAAAATGAAAAATACGATATACTATAGTTCATTACATGATTTCCTAACTCAAGTAATATAAAAAATATTTTTTTTTATGATTAAAACCCTAGATTTTACCAAGCTTTTCTCGATGAATCATGGTCTCATATCATATAATTCGTAGACATTGAGAAAGATTTGTATTTTTTTTTAACTCTCCGTACATATATATCATCTATATATAGAGACTAGAGTCACCAATTTCTTTCTTGATGTTCTTTAACAAAAAAAAAAAAAATTCTTTCTTGATGTTATCCATTAGTCTAGGCTTTTTAATTGCCACGTGGGAAATATAGCAATATACAAGTATGAATGTGTGTAAGAGCATACACAATGGCACATGTGTAAGTGTGGGTGTGAATAATTTTTTATTATTATAATTAAAGAGAGAGAGAAAAGAGAGAGAGAGATAGAGAGAGTGCAATATTTCTCTTTATTTTAATACTCACACCCAAGTGTAAACTTACACCCAACATACAACTTTTCTATTTTTTCTTCTTTTTATATTACTTCTCCTTTTTATATTACTCACAGCCAACCAAATTTGTACCACTGTGTATGGTCTAAGGGTCAGTCATGTATGGTCTAAGGGTCAGTCATGTGGCGGCTCTATGTCCACGCAAACTAAACGTACGGGACCCGAAGCTTCCTCGAGAAGAGACAAAACAAAGTTCACTGAATCTTTACTTCTCTAGCTTAGAAAACATTTGTAGTCGAGACACACGTGCAAAGGCGGCCTTTTTAACCGATAACTACAAAGCTCCGGTTCCAATTTATCTAACTTTTTGTTTGTTAAAATAATAGAACTATTTCACTTTGAAGTCGTTCAATGTCAAATGATTATTGTGGAAATTGCAAAACATAATTTACCAAATCAATGTAATTGCATAACTAAAATCTATCGAGTTTTTTTTGGCATCAAGAGCTAAATGTGTTCCCTCGCCTCTAATGAAGAACTATCGTTATTTTCAAAACTTAAGAAGATCTGAGAGTGTTCGGTTATGATCTATGATTGTAATTGTTACTTTTATTTTTACCATTTTATTATGTACATTCTTTGAACTTTCGAGATGCGGACTCTTTGGCAAAGAGCTCTTTTGATTCCTCATTGTTTATTTATAAGATAAAGTTTGACAAAAAAAAAAAAAAAATTAGACAGACAAGAGAATATACCTTCGAATCCACTTAGAAATATTTACTCAATAAAATGAAAATGATAAAGAAAAAAAAAAGATAATGCATACTAAATATCTCACTATTTTCTTGAAAAAGGAAAAAAGATAATGCATTATCTTGTTCAATTGGGATTTTGACTCCGATGTCAGATTAAATTAAACACACATTGACAATACAAAAAATGTTGAAGACAACGAAAAGAGTTGGAGTATACTTGGCCCCAACATAATAAAATACACAATGGACCTTTCTTAGGGAACACTAAAGAAGCAAAAAGCTATTACCATAAGCATTTTAACGTCAAGTGTAAAGTTCGAAACACTGGAAAACAAAGCCACTATTGCACAAGACTTTGAGTCTTTTTGTAATGGCTTTTTGCATAACATTTAGAGCGTACGATTGGATACACCTTTAACATGGACACATCCACCATATCCATAGCCGGCCACCATGCATGCCGGTGTCGGGTTACAACCGCGTGAAAAACTATTTCGCCCATAACCACGGCCCCCTGTAAATCTTGAGAACTTACCAAATGTGTGGAACCATGGTATGATGGTAAGAGTCTTAAAACTAAAAATACAATTGGATATGTTGGCAAAAAATAAAGGGTTTGGATATATAGATAGTGCCATCTGGTTTCCGTTGCTCTGAGAATCTAGATTGTATTTAATTTGGGGAGTCTCAGTTGATGGCATTTGATGAGAGGTTATCAAAGAACAATCAATGCCCAAGACAACACTAATATACAGTTATAACCAATAATAGTTCAATCATGTTTAGATACATACCATTTTCACCGAACAATACTCATAAACTTTGTTACTTGGAAGAATTTGCGGATCATTTTTTTTTATTTTCTTTAGCTCAAAATGATCCGACTACTCATGTGAAATTTCAGGAGATCAAAACGTCTCAATATCACTAACATGTAAGGGTCGGCTATGAGCAAAGTCCAATGAAACATTGGCTTTGGGCTCCCACAAATTTTTAAAATCCACAATATAAAATTATTGACAAATTGACCCCAAATTTATTAAATTTTACAATAAAAAGCCTCCAATTCTCTAAATCATAGAAAATAATCTCAAAATATACTTATTTTAACTTTGTCCCCCAAAATCTCATGGCCGTAAAAGTAAAACTAAGCTTTGTTGCTCCGGTAAAATCAAAGACAATCTGATCACTTACAGACTAGATACGGAAGCTGCTTCTTCGTAAATTTCAAGCTCAAGATCCACAAAATCCCTTTCCAATAAAAGTTAGGGTTTATTCTGATTTAGGGCTAAGGGAGATTGAACATCTCTTTTTTAACATCTGATGCAGCGCATATTCACTCCTTGTTGGGCCTCGTTTTGGGTTTTCGTGCCCATCAAGTTATTCGGTTGTTTCTAGAATATTTCCTTTGTTTTCGTAGCATTATCGTTTCGTTTTATTTTGTTAACATAAGATATTATCGATATCTTTAGGATTAGAATTAGATAGATTTGTTTTGATCTCCACGACTCTATATAAAGAGATCGTCTCCTCTTTGTAAAGATCATCTTTTATCTATTGAAATCTCATTGAGAACGTTTCTTAAGAGCTTTGTCTCAAAGCCCTGCAAGGAGGACTTGCAAAACCTTGTTGTAATCGATTCCAGAACCGATCACAACGTCACTTTCACGCTTTCATCTCACCGCTTCTCTTCTCTTTCACGTTACCATCTCCTCTGTTTTTCGTTTCCAAAACAGAGCACCTTCTCATCATCTTCTAGCTTCCGCCTCTCTATCAGTTGGTATCAGATTCGGTACGTTCCTGAAATTTTCTTTGACTCCTCATGGCAAAGAAAGACGACGAGATCGCCGCCGCAAATTGGGCTGAACTGAGAGCCGCTCTAGCCACTCTCCAAGCGATGCAAGAGACGATGCAGACCACCATTCAAACATCCATCCAAGCATCGATTCAGTCATCTATGCGTGAGTTAGGCGACAACTTGACTCAACACTTCCAACCCCGTGTTCGTGGCAACAACAGACGTGAAGAGCTCGCCGTAGACAATCCGTTTGCGGCAAATCAACAAGCTGGAAATCAGGACATCGTGGTTCGGCGACAAGACCAGAGAGAATCACGCTGGGAATTGGGTTTCAAAGTGGATATTCCCGAATTCAACGGGGGTATTCGTGGAGATTCATTGATCGATTGGCTGGTGACGGTCGAAGAGATACTCGACTTCAAACAAGTGCCAAATGATCGTCGTGTCCCTCTTGTAGCAACGAAATTTCGTGGTCACGCTGCCTCTTGGTGGCAACAAGTCAAGCTAACCCGCACCCGCAACAACAAAGCACCCATCGAGTCATGGGATAAATTGAAAAAGAAGCTACGTCAAACTTTCCTTCCACATAACTACGACAGAACCACGTATACACGTCTACAAAATTTAAAACAAGGAAGCCGCACCGTAGATGAGTATGCAGAGGAATTTTATGTGCTGTTGACAAGGAACGAAATTCATGACAGCGAGCTTCAACTGGTCTCTCGATTCATTGGAGGACTACGGCCGCAACTCCAAACCTCTCTCGCACAATTCGATCCAACATCCATAGCCGAAGCTCATCGTCGCGCAGCCTCCTTTGAGCAACAACAACGATCTGGTGGATGGAGCTCCACTTCCAATCGACGAACTCAGGATATAAGCCTCCCCAAGTCGGAGACAGTACCAAAAGAAAACGCAGACATCACCGCGCCTCTCCCTAACCATTCAACGGAGGAACCAGCTCTACGCCGTTCAGGCCGTAATGCCCTGCGTTGTTTCAGCTGCGGTGAACCCGGCCATAGGCAGACCGCATGTCCTAACCAAACAAGACGAGGGCTCCTTGTAGAAGACCAGCTCGCAGCCGACGAACCTCTTTATGACTCCGATGAAGAAGAGCAGAGCAACGCCGACTCCGTGTTACACCATACACACGGTGATCACGGACCATTACTCTTGGTTGGACGCACATGTCTCCTTCCAGAAGCTAAACCAGAGTCTTGGCTGCGAACTAACATTTTTCGCTCCACCTGTACCATCAAGGGACGCCTTTGCACAGCCGTGTGTAGTTTCATCATCGACTCCGGCAGCTCACGAAATGTTATCGCAGCAGAGGCCGTTAAGAAATTGGGACTACATATTGAAGAACATCCGACTCCTTACAATCTTGGATGGCTTAGTGATTCAGTAAATATGCGTGTCACGCAACGTACTATGGTTCCTTTCTCCATCGGACCATATTACAAGGACCGTATGTATTGCGACATCGCTCCTATTGATGTGTGTCATCTATTACTAGGCAGGCCATGGGAATACGACCGCAAGATCACCCATGACGGAGAGAAGAACACTTATCGTTTCGTGTGGGAAACTCACCAAATCTTACTCATGCCATCACGAGAACCCGTAGCTGTGGA